GTGTGAGGTTTTATAAGGGATTTACTAGCTAAGTCACAAAGACAACAAAGTTTCATCAAGAAACTAAACAAATTCACGAAGAACTTAATAACTTAACCTAGATCACAAAGTAGGTTAATTATTAAGTAACTATATTATCGAGATCATGAAGTAGGGTATTATAACTAACGATTACTCTTATCACCAAGAAGAGAGTAATAATAACAAGAATTGTCAAGATCACAAAGCAAGGCAATTTACAAGAGGGTTTTCACTAAGAAAGTTACAATATAAACTATATAATTCACCAAGAAAGATATCAGTTTATAAATAATATTTTTATTTCAGTTATTAGAATATTCAATTCTATGTCAACTGTTCCTTTGAGAGGAGCAGAAACAACTTCTATTTATACAAAATTGAGATCATATCGTGAACTATAATTATTAACTTCAAGAAAACTCAGGAAGTTTCCATAACATTCCAGTGTGATTACTAATACTGGAGGTAATTTATCTAGATATTTACCAGTAGCTACCAGAGGTATTTTACCTTGCATCGTGTAATATTACATATCTGAGATATTTTATCTCTATTACATAAATACTGAAAATGTGATACAAGAATATAAATATACTAAACTAAAAATAAATAAAATAATACATATATAAAATACTAATATAATAATAAAATAATAGTAAAAAAATAAGTTATGATAAGAATATACATATATAGAAAAAATAAAGAAACAGGATCAACAACATTTGGACCATTGTTACTATGAGTTTTCTCCACTTTTATAATTTCTTATTATTTTATTTTATTTTTATTTCTTATTTGTATTTATTTTATTAGTATAGTTATATTTAGTATATTTAGTTATTAGTATTTATTTATTTAGTAGTGTAATACGAATTATGTAAATCAATAATGTAGATCATAGTGGCCCAGTTACTGACCAATTTACTGACCAATTTAGTGGCCAGCTGATTGACCAACTCAATGGCCAACTGATTGGCACAATTACTGACCAAGATTTTGATCAACTTACTGACCAACTTACTGACCAAATTTAATATTATAAAAAGGGTGAGTTTTCTCTCCACCCCAAGGGAGATTCAGATAGTTTTTCAAATAAGATTCGAATAATTCTAAATAATGAAATTTAGAAAGTAATCTCAATTGTAATATTTTTATATCCTAAAGTAATTGGATTATTGATTTTCTTCGTAATAAACTTATACCTTTTATATTAAAACTCTGTTCACTTA